CACAGACTGATACAGAGGGCTGTATCCTCCCTACCAAGGCATCACACAGACCCCTCCTCTCCCCAGCCAAGTCTAGGGACCCCATCCCATGAGATGCTAGAGAACATCCCTCTCCAGTTCAGACTTGGGACTATTACATCAGGGTCCTGCACACAGCACCCCTGCAGGCTGCAATGGGGACCTCCATTCTGCCAGGGAGCCCCCTAGGAACATGGCCCCCCACTTCACAGTGATGCCTTCCCAAACTAGAGGCCCCCCCTCACACCAGGCAAAACATAGACCTCCCCACAGAGTGCTCCCCAAGCTGAGGTACCAGACTTTCCACCCCACAAAGAGAGAGAGGACCCCACAACACCAGGTACTGCTCATGACCCCAATCACCCCTGCTCTCTACTCTGTAGTGCCTGACAGACAATGGCCAGAAGGGGGAGGGAACCCAGGTGTCTGGATGCCCCAGCCTGGGCCCTGGCCACTGGACCCACCAGCTAGCAAGAGCTGAGGAAAGCCTGTTGAAAGTCTGAGACGTCCGTCCGCCAAGGGGAAACTGCTGTGGCACTTCAGTGCCCAGATGCCAAGGCTGAGGGGAATCTGCTAGGGTGTTTCACTGCACAGGGTAGGCCGAGCAGGTGCTGGGAACCCACAGATGCATCCCAGGGAGATCACGCCCTTCACAACACCGACATACCCCAGACACCACAGCCCCCCCACAGACAACAGGCTTCTTGTGTGCCGCACCCAGCTCCGACCCAACCTCTAGCCTGCTGGGCACCGCCCAGATATACAACCGGAGCTGGTGCTTGGCTTAAACTGAGGCAGCCCAGGAGGGGCCCAGAGTCCCACAGCTGGATCAGGCCATGGCCCAGAGGCAGGTCTGGATCTGATCTCAGCCCCTGCAATCCCCAGGCTTCTGCGGGGTTATAATAAGGAGTGTCATGCAGGTGCTGAGTAGTGCCAGAGTCCTGAGCCTACTATGAGCACGTGGAACCTTACCCCTTCCATAGTCAGGCTCCAGCAAGTCATGCCTGGGGACAGCTCCTCTGAGCTGGGAGGAGGGGGAAGGCAGGGCAGCAAAAATGCTCCTTAGCCCCGTCAAGTCCCAGCTGCTGGCTGAGCAGGTCCCCAGCCTCCCATCTCCCCACCCCCCTGCACCCAGGCAGGCAGTGCTGTGAGCCGAGCAGAGAACGGAAGCTACAGGAAATGGGTTTGCAAAGACAGTTGAGCAGCAGTTTTGCGGAGAGCTGAGGAGAGGGCAGGGCCTTCTCCTCTCTCTCAGATCTCTGAGCTGCCCCCCTAACATGGGGGCAACCATCTGCCCCTGCCTTAACACTCTGAGGTAGGCAATGTCCTTTAGCAGGTGTCTAATTGGGGTGGGTCTCACACTCCTTGGAGAATGGGGGAGCTCTGGGCAGCTCACTGACTCCCACCCCCCTCCCCACATAGACACACCCAATCCCCGACCAGACTGGGTCTCTAGCAGAGCCCCCTTTGATACCAGGCCAGGCAGGCTGTCCCCAGGCAGTACATGGCACAGCCAGGGCCCTCCAGTCCCAGCACAGTCCCCACCCAACATAGCCAGCAGAGTCCAGCACCCCTAGTAACACATCTCTTCCCTGCCCACTGGAGGCCCTAAAGAGGCTCACTGGAGGCACGGAAGCCTTCCCCTCTGCACTTCCTGTGGGGCAGATCCATCCCCATCAGTACAGCTGCTGGACCAGAAAGTGGACTTCTTGTCCACAGAGGAAAACTAAGGCAGAGAGAATTCCCTAACTTCCTCCACCCAGGGGTTGCCATGCAAGTCAGCAGCAAGATCTGACCTTGAGACTCCTAGGCTGTACTCTTAGACCTCCCTCTGTACTCCATTCCCTCCCTTGATCAGGGCCAGCACTCCCCAGGCAAGGAAGGCTCATGCCTCACCCCCTAGCTAAGGGTTGGGGACAGTTCCCTATACACCCAATGGGTCAGTACCCTGCTTCCAGCCCCCTCCCAGACAGGGCACTTCTCCATCACCTGGATGCAAAACCTCCCCAAGCCCACTCCATGTCCAGCAGCATAAGTCACAGGCTTTACCAGGCTCAGCTGGCTGGTAGCACCATGAGAGAGGCCCAGGAAAAGCCAGACCATCTGCCAATGCTGCCTCACCTCTGGAGGGGCTGGCTGGGTCCTGCCTACCCCTCTGGACAGCTGTCCTGCTGGGCACAGGCAGCCCGGGGGTACAGATGCCAGGAGCTGCCTGCAGGTCACAGTCACTGCTGCCCCTCCCCCCCAAGCCTCTCACCAACAGATGTCAATGCCTGTTCACACACACACACACACACACACACCAAGCCCTGCCTGCTCCCCCAGGCCCCCGTCCTTTCTGGTTAAGGAGTACAATGGTGCTGGCACCCCCCTTTCAGAGGTTGAGAAACTGAGGCATGCTACAGAGATCTGCCCCACCAAATAAAACAGAAAAGCAACAGCAGAGAACCCCTACCTCCCCCTATTTTACCCCACTCTAAGCCACTAACCCCAGTTCCCTTCCAGGCCCAAGCATCCTGCCTGCCAGTCCCTGACTGCTCTAACCCACCAGGCCCTCCTTTCTCCCAGGGCTAGAATAGTGGCCAGGTACCCTGGGTCCCAACCTGCCCCTAGGAGGGCAGCTCTCCGAGGGGTGGCAGGACCTAGGCAGCCCCTTCCAGTGGGCGGACAAGGATAATCAGACAGGATACTCTGCCCTGCTTTCCCCGCCAGTGCTCCCAGACAGCGAAGCTGGCTCCAGCCCTCTCCTCTAACCTGCCGCCACCCCCACCCCCCCTTGCTGGATCAATGAGCAGAGCCCTTGAACCCTGAAACCTAAACCCCTTGCACCCCATAACATGACCAGTCCCCCCTACCCCTCTCCCAACAAAGCCAACTTCCAGCTGGGGGGGGGGGGGCGGGGGCTAATCCGGGGGGGGGGCAGGAGCTAATCTTGGGGCTGCACCCCCTATGAAGCTGCCTCCCAGGCAAGGGGGGTCAGGGGCCTAGCCTTGCCCTAGGGCTGCCCCCAATGAGCCAGCCCCCACCAGGGTGGAGCAGGGCCCAGCCTATGCTTTGAGGCTGACCCTCAGCTAAGTGGGGAGGGCTGCCCCATGCCCTAGAGCAGTCCCCAATGCAGCCCCCCCAAACAGAGGTGGGGGCTGAGCTGTGCGCCCCCCCCCACCACAAGGGCAGCAGCAGCAGCCCATGGGGAAGGAGGGCTGCGGGTAGGGACACAGGGACCCGCCCCCACCCCGGGGCGAGGGCACCCCCCATGGGTGGGGGTGCCTGCGAGTCTCCCAGGCTGGGCCCCCGAGTGGGAGCCCAGCCCAGGCCCCTCAGGCAGGGTGGAAGGCCCCGTGGGGGTAACATGGCGGCGACCGAGAGCGGAAGCTTACCGGGCCCCCCTGGAGCTCCTGGCTCCGCCACGATCCCACAATGCCCTGCGCCCAGAGCCAGTGACCGCTCTGCCTCCCTGCCAAACCCCCTCCCCCGGAGCAGCGCGCATGCGCCAGCCAACCACTTCTCTCGGGAAGGACCCGGGTCGTAGGTGGAGGAATGCGCATGCGGCGCCAGGGTGGCCCCACCTCCCCTCGCGCATGCGCACCTGCCTCTCCGGCCCGTGTCCAAGAGCAGCGCATATGTAAACTTTCCCACCCCCAACTCTTCCGGGCCGGTAGTGCCTACTAGGCGTGCGCATGTGCGGGTTTTACTCCTCCCGCCCAACGAAGCAACGCATGCGCAAATGGTCTTGCAAGTGGCCTCAGGAAAGCACGCGCCTTTTCACCACGCACATGCGCACTCAGGCTCTGGTCCAGGTGCCCTTCATTCAGCACTAGCCAATCGCGGACCTGCCCGCTCCTGCGCCGGGTCTCCTGGCACTGCGCATGCCCACTTATGTCCCACAGCCTGCCCTGCATGGGCGTGCGCGATAATTGCTGCTTGCTCTTTAAAGAATTTGCGAAAAGCTCTGAAATTGGAGATGTATACTTAAAAGCATCATCGTGCAAGTCTAACGGCCTGGTTTGGCGTGGCGTCACAGCTAAGTGACATCATCCCTCCCAGTATGACGTCACCATGCTATCTCACCTGATATCAGCTCAGTGAAGTAATTACAGCACTGACATCATTACTGCAGGAATGACAGCTGCTACCTCAGGCATGGCACTCCTGCCTTATGAATTACTGAATGCACCACCACTGCCCTGAGTGTTGTGACATCATCACTAAGCATGACACCACAGCCATGCTGTCATTGTTCAGAACATCCTCACTGTACTACAATCTTCCATTCAGGACATGACTTTTCCAGTGAGCCTGTACTATACATGTGTAACATCATCACTCTTTCTGAGCTGATTACATCAGCTGCTCCATCTGTGACATCATTCTGTGATACCCAAAGCACCCCCGCTCCCCCAATGAGCACTGGGCACACAGATCTGGGTGACATGAAGATCTTTGTAATAAATGCCTGAGGCAGGCCTGTCCCAGCCTACCTTCTCCCTAGCAAGAGGTGTAGCAGGGGATATTCAAGAGCATCATGGCAGCTGTCTGTATGGCACCCCAGGTCAGATCCTGGCTGAGGGCAGCTCACTGTGAAACTGCTACCGACTTCCAGGCCCTGGGGAGCCCTTGCTTTGAGGCAGAGGCAGAGGCAAAGATGGGAGCCCCAGGGTTCTCCACAAGATGGAGCCACTTGCCACTGGGCTGGGAGCCAAGCTGAGACCCAGTAACTCATACCACAGAATAAATGTGAGGTAGGGGCAGAGCAACACCACCTAAAAGGGACCAGCCCTTGCCCCATCCCCACCCCCAGAGCCAGCCAGAGCCCCTGCCTTGGAGGGAAGTGGGGGCAGCAACCCAGAGGGGAAAATCTCCTGTCTCATTCTCTGCCCCCAGTCCATGTGCCCCCCATACCAATCATTTTCTTCCCCCTGAACAGCTCTGAAGTCCCAGTGATGTCCTTGTGGCCTACAGCATCCACGAGGGCAGAAAAACAATCACCGAAACCAGAAACTTTATTAGAAAACCACTGGCAACAAGCAGAGAACAGATGAACAGGTAGAGGGGGAAGAGGGCTGCTGGGGAATCCCCAGGACTTGAAAGGTGGGACCCCTCCCATCACTATGGCTGCCTCCCTTCCTCACCCCCACAAGAATAGCATGGCAAGGAATATTGCTGCTTTGCCCAGTTCTCTGAACTCATACATCATCTTCCTTCAAGGTGGGATGACTTCAAGACTTAAAAGGTGGTGTCAGAGAGGGGCTGGTTCCCCCAGTGAAAGGTAAAGCCTCCTGCCCCACTCCAAGCTGGCCTGGAGGCAGATGAAATATGATGCCCCCTGAAGTGGAAAGCTCCCCTTCCTCAGCCAGTCCCAGTATGAGTCAGAGGTTAACAACATGCAGCTGGATCTTGCTAGCAGAATGATACCTGACTCAGCATCAGGGATGGGAGGGGGAAAGAAGGAAGAAAGGGGCTGCTGGGATCTGGATAAAGAGTGGGCGGTCTGCCTGAGGGCTAGGGGTAGTGGAGGAGGGGAAGGACTGTGAGGGCAGGGGTTGGGAAGCAGTAGATTTGTGTGGAGGGGACCATGTGCCAGGTGCCACCCCCTCATTAGGGTAATAAGCCACACCCACCCCAGCAGAGAGCTCTGGTCCAGCTTGGCCCCTTGGCAGATTCTGGTGTCTCATGCTGCCATGAAGGGGCAGGAGCTGGGGGCTGCATGCTGGGAGGGTAGGGGGCTCCCCTGCTGAGCTGGGGGAGGGCAGGGGATGTCACCGATCCATGCTGCTCTCCTCGGGTGGGGTCTGGAAGCATATTCGTAGCAGCCGCTCGCAGAACTCCAGCTCCTCCTGTGGGGAGAGCAAGGGGTTAAATGCACACTATGCTGCCACCTACTCCTCCTATTTAGCGCATCAGGGATGCTGTGATCTCATATCAACCAGCATGGAAAGATAAGCAGGGTTGGCTGGGTTAGGACTTGGATGGGAGACTCAAAGGTGCAGGGCAGGAAGCACCCTCCTTTCACAGCTACTGCTGGCCCCAGTGCCCCAGGGCAGCACTAAGGGGCACCACCTTGTTGGGGGCAGGGCAGGGAGCCAGGGCACAGCTGGGGGAGGGAATTCCAGTGGTATTCTCTCTGTCCCTCCCTATTGCCAGGCTAGTGAAGATGGTGTCCCCTAGTACCAGAGAAAGAGTAGGTCTCATAACACCCCCTAGTGCCAGATGAGGAACTGGGGCATTTTCCATACTCTCTACCACCAGCAAGTGGCAGAACACCAACTCCCTAGTGCCAAGGGCACAGGCGAGTCTCAGCATAGGGTTAAGGGGACACAGGGTGGCCCCCCATTAGGGCCAGGCTGAGGAAAAGAGACCCCCCACCCTCTTTGCCCTGAGGTAGGAGGAAGAAGCATGGTGGCACCCCCTTGTGCAGAGAAGGGGCTGAGCTGGAGTGTGGCAACCCCAAGGTACCTAGATCTTACCATTCTGACCAAGAGGCTCCTTTCCTTTCCCCACTTTGGACCCATACCTGAAACTCCTCCTGATCCTGCAGCAGTTGGCAGCGAGCCCGCAGCAGCTCCTCTAGCCCCAGCTGGGGCTCCCGACACTCCCACACAACCTGAAGGAAGT